GAAGAAGAAACTCTTACTTACTGTAACTGTAGTTCTTCGAGATGTGATGCAGACATGTATTCCACAGCAGCAGATGGACATATCGTTGTGGACTGACCACCAGTGTAAGGAGTTGAACACCTGTGTCGGTACCTGTACTTGATCTTTCATTTGTTCCAGACCCTTAATATAAAGGCTTGAAAAGATGTCTGATCTGTGACTGTGCCCAGGAAGTGATCCCTATACACGAGACCTGGAGTCCTAGCAGTTGGCGGTATAATTCTATGATGGATCTCCAGTGGCTCTGGAGCAAGATGATAATTCCTGGATTTTCTGAAACCTTTCTAGTAATGGGTAGATCCTTGCTATCGAGGTGGCTATTTCTGCCACTAGGCGGTTTATCCTGGTGGATGGAACCAGGGAACTTTTCTTGGCATTGATGAGGAAGCCATGCACCTGGAGGAGACCTGATTTGCTGAATATACAGTCTTTATTCAAAGACAGGGCGATCCCCTGATGGTTTATAATGTTCCTTTTTACTTCCAAATGGTTTTGATTGTTTGAAGTTGTCTTTGATAGTTTTCCATTGACTATTCTGAGATGCAATGAGGGTAGAGAATTAAATCTTGTATTTCATCACTGGCTGATCAGAGAGAGGTGAAAACTCCCTCATACTTGAATGGGCCAGCACTGAGATATATGATTCCTGGTGACTAACTTTTGTTCCAAGACCGTAAGGTATAATTTTCAATATAGTTACATTATTCCTTAGATATTACACTTGCACAAATCTTGCAATGATTATGAGTATTGAGAAATTACAAGCTTTCAGGAGAGATCTCACATGCTACTTTTCATAGCTAAATACCATGGAAATGATATATTAGGTGTAGTGAGTTTGTCAGGTCTGAGATGGGAGTTGCTTATAAAGAACCCTTTGTATGTTAACACCAGTGGGCCTCTGTGTCCCAAGTAGAACCTGAAGAACATTTATTTTGGGAAACCCCCTTTAACACTGCCATATCCAGAAGATGAGACATTTCATTCTTGATCAGATTGTGTTTTACTGCATTGTTGGAATTGGGTGATTGGATGAAGAACCTTTGGACTGGAGCCCACAGCTTGGGGGAATATCCCTGGCTCATTATCTTCCTGACTCATTTTTCTGTGGTCGATGAGCCATTCCTCTAGGAAATGTGAAATTCTGTCCCCTAGCTTCAGTTCTGGACAGAGGCCTACACAATCTCAGTCATAAAGTGGATTAGATGGATGAGCGGCCGAGGTCCCTCTGGGCTTCCCCTTGGATCTCGATTCTACTGTTTTTTCCCTTGGAGAATCTGTTGTCTCTTTGCTGGTACCGGTGTGGCTGTCCCTTCACTGTTACAAAGAGTGAAAGGAGTGCATGTGTCTGAAAGCCGATTAATGTACTCTCTCCTTAGGGCACTTAGTGGGGCAGGGTGAGATTTTGCTGCACTGTCAGCCACCTCCCTCTCCAGCCTTTCTCCAAAAACGAGGGAGCCTGTCAACTTGGCCAAGCATAGAACCTGCCTAGAGTGAATGTGCACTTTCTAGGGACAGAGCCCTAGGTGGCATCTAGTTACACTAAAAGCCATGGCTCGGGCTGAGAACCCCATTGCATCTATTGAGGCATCAGCTACAAAAGCTGTTGCTAGGGAGACTTTCTTTAAAATTGAACCAAAGTCAGGGTGATCTCTTTCTTTAAAGGTTTTGAGATCTTCCAGCTAGGAAAGATGCTCCTGCAAACAGGGAACTGCCAGAGACACTCGGACGGCGGTGGAGGAGTCTTCAAAGTCATTTTGAGAGTAGCCTCCATCTTTCTGTCTATGGTGTCCTTAGTATAGAACTCCCCCTCTGAGAGAATAACCATATCTCTGGCGAGGGACTCTGTGGCAGGTCAGCCTTCGGTATCAGCAATAGATCCCTTTTGGTTCTTGAATGTTATGGAGCCTGAAGTTGCTCTTGTTAATGCGCTTGCCCTTATAAGGCTTGTTCCACTCATCCCTAATCACTTCCTTGAAGGAGGAGTGAAGGGGTATCACCACCTCAGGGGTGGATTTTGAGGGGACCTATTTACTCTGAGGCTTACTCTCGAGAGCCTGCTCAGGTTGGATTTGAATTGTGGAAACAACCTTGTGCACATAGCTTGAAATTTCTGAGGGGGAAAAAAAACTTTCCTGCATTTTCCACCCATCCTGTTCACATTCAGAGCCAGACAGCTCATCTGCCTCGGTGCCCTGAGTCATGTTGTCGGGGTCCTCGTCACTTTTTGAAGCCTCTCCCTGGTCTGCGCTGGGGTTCCTGGTCCATTCTTCTCCCACTGGAGTTGTGACTGCCTAGGTGGATAGGGGACTCCACCTGCCTGTTTGACTTGCAGCCCTAGGACCGGTTGGCTGGATGCAAGCTGTGCACAACTCACTATCTGCCAAAACTAGGGGATTCACAAATAGAACACTGCTTGGATCTAATCTTGTGTTTTCTTGGCTGCTCTGCCATGCCTTCAAGGGGCAGAGGAGCTGGACAGGGCGATGCTACAGCAGATGCTCAGAGAGAATTAAATCCCTGAGGGAGGAGGATGAATGTCGGAGAGGGAGAACGTTGTTCTCCACTGCTCAAAAACTGGGCAGAAGCAGCTCAAATTGAAAAAGAGCGGGATCAGTAGCGACCACCACTGTCTGCTGCCATAGAGGCAGAGAAACTGGTGGCAAGTGGGAGCAAAGAGGGTCTGGCCAGTGCGTGGTGCCAAAATGCTGATCTGCCTCCATGAAGTTGCAGACAGAGGAGACCAGCCCTGATGTCCAGGATTGTGGGAGACACTGGGCTGCTTGGTTACATGCATATATTTGTTCCTCCTTTCTTCATTATTCTTGTGTATCTTGGGAGAGGAGCCATCTTTTTTTTATGACATTAACAGCCCTGAACATAATTTGGGAGTTCAACAAATATTAATTGTACATTTTACAATTTCACCAGATAGTTTAATTTTAAAACACAAAAGGTCAGTTAGGGAAAAAAGCTTAATGGACCAGTGTATTATGAGAGAGAAAGTGGGTGAGATAATATCTTTTATCTTCTGTTGGTGAAAGGTCAGATATAGTATCTCTATCACTCCTAATCCTCAAAGGAAACCTGCACAACACTTTCAAAAGACTAGGCTGTGAGCTTAAATTCATAACTCTGCTAGACACTAAAAATCATGGACTGAATAGAGACACTGGATTTATGGCTTATTGCAACAATCTGTAACCCACTAGCCTCCTCCTCTTTATCTTATGACTGCAGAGGTGCTAACGAGCCACTCTGTCATAGGACAGGTCTACACTACAGCAGGGATCGAGCTCTGAGATCAATCCACCAGTGATAGATTTAGCAAGTCTAATAAAGCCCTGCCAAATCGATTGCAGATCGCTCTCCAGTTGACCCCTGTACTCTAACCTTGACAAAAAGAGTAAGGTAAGTTGACGGGAGATTTTCTCCCATCGATCCCCCGCGGTGTAGACCCCGTGGTAACTCGACCTAAGTTATGTAGACTCCAGCTACGTTATTCTCGTGCTGGAATTGTGTAGAGTTGGTAGACTTACCGCAGTAGTGTAGACATAGCATTAGAATGGTGCCTTGGAATGTGAGGAAGAGAGCCTAAAACACTAACCACCTATGCTAAACAATCTGTTCCACCTTGCATTTAGCTGTGAAGCTTGGAGAACCTTTCCCAGCCCTGTAGAAGAGCTCTGTGTGTCTCAAAAGCTTGTCTTTCTCTCCAACATAGGTTGGTCCAATAAAAGATATTTCCTCATCCATCTGGTCTCTAATATCCTGGGACTGACAGGGCTACAACTATGGTGCATACAATGTATTATGAATCGTAAGACTAATATTATACAATGGTATTTACATGAATGACAGAATTTGAATCTGGGAAATGCGTCATAATTAATGTACGTTAACTATCCCCCACACTATCCTCCACATAGATTTAGCTAAGCAGTATGTGGTATCCCTCTCCACACTGGGATCAGATGTATGATAGATATAGCTATCATTAAGTGTAGTTTTTGCTAACAGGCATAGACAGGCTTTTTGTGTGTGTGAGAACTGTATTATGATCTGGTTACTAAAGCAAGCTATAAGTTATATTTTTATTACACTCCTACCCTGATATAACGCAACCCGATATAACACGAATTCGGATATAACGCAGTAAAGCAGTGCTCCAGGGGGGCGGGGCTGCGCACTCCGGTGGATCAAAGCAAGTTCAATATAACATGGTTTCACCTATAACGCAGTAAGATTTTTTGGCTCCTGAGGACAGCGTTATATCGAGGTAGAGGTGTATTTGTATTAAAGTAGTGCCCATTGGGAACCCATTGTGCTGGTAGTACAAGACACTGCCTTGCATGAAAACGGTAGTTTAATGTGGCCTTTCTAAATATATGACCTGTTCATACTGGTTAGGGAAATAGTGTTAGAAACCATGGCTCTAGCTGGTTCAATATTTTTAATTTGGAAGGAATCTGCAATTTTGAATGGTCATCTAGAGTTACAAAATCTATCAAAGGAGCACATCTGTAATTATTCTGTAAAGTAAACCGGTGAAACTAGCTGATACTTGGCCATTTCATTTTTATACAGCAATATTTCAGCAGATGACATGCTGTACACGGAGACAGATCTGGAAGAAAGCATGGACAAAATTGAAACCATCAATTTTCATGAAGTAAAAGAGGTGGCAGGAATCAAGTTCTGGTGTTACCACGCGGGCCACGTCCTGGGAGCAGCCATGTTTATGATTGAAATAGCTGGTGTGAAGGTATTTTTTTAGTATAGAGCAGTAACTCCTTGTCAAAAAAATTTATTATTAGTTTTTAAGCATTGGCAATGAGTTCAGAGCTCAAAATATGAAAATAGGCAAGAAACCTCAAAGCAAGCACACTGGAAGACCCAGAAGGAGGCTTTGTCTTGAAGTATTATTTTTAATCAGTTATAGCTGGTGAGTGACAGCAGTTTTATTTAAGTGAGATAGTATATGTAGGCTTCGTGGAAGAGGTGAGTTTTAAATATGTGGTCTAAGCTTGGAATGATTTAGCACAGAGATTACCAAACTGGTCTGCTGAGAGCTGGCTGATCACCTATTGCTAGCTGTCCTTGCATCCAGTAGTTAAATTGCATTAAAAGGCAACTTAATCCATAAATACTTTACTTTCCCATATCTGTCTTTCTATCTAGGAACTTCACTAGCCTCCATCACCATAGTACTACAGTGCCTCACATTAATTAATTAATCTTCACAACACCCTTGTGAGGTAGGGAAATATTCTTTTTCCCATTTTTATGTACAGGGAGCTGAAGCACAGAAAAATTAAATAATTTGTCCAAGGTTATACAACAAGTCTGTGGCCGAATCAGATGTCAAACACAGATTTGTGAGTCCCAGTTCAGTATCTGGAAAGGAAAACCAATCTTCCTCCCTATAAGCAATTTCTAAAATGTCCACAGGCACGCTAAGAAGTGATCACAAATGGGAGAGGAAATGTTTTGTGTAGTTGCAAATGGAAGGTGGTGATCCACAAGGTAATTTCCCTATTAAGATATAGTTTACATTATGAAAGTTTGAAAACCTCTGGCTTAGTAAGATTCAGAAAGGGTTACGAACATATATTGAGAAGACTCTGGTTAAATAGCTAGAATAAAAATGAGAAGAGATAGTGGTCTTCTTGCTGATCATCACTTGGTGGTGGGAAGAAACAGCCTTTCTTCTGTTGTGTGTATTGCTCAAATTATTATTTTTTATATGCATTATGTTCTGTGCTTTCTCTTGAAGCATGTGGTATAGGCTACAGGATAGTAAGCTACACAGACCATTTATCTTTTCCACTGCTGGTCATCTGTGTTCTTATTCAAGCTTTTGAGCATGATTTGTATTTAAACTCTCTTCAAATGAGTAATGGTAGGATACAGCATGTTGAAGTTATGAAGTGAAATTCCTGTAATTCACTCTGTTTGGGGCTCAATTTGCCCTTCACCATGCAGTTAGGAATTGATCTGAGAGGGACCAATGTATTAAAGAGCAGGATAAAGACCTTAGAGAAAGCATTTTAAATTATGGGTTTTCCTTTAAAAATAAGTGTGCAGTTTTCTCAGTTTAAAGTAATAATATGGAAATATCAGTCTTTAGTACAACGTAAGCTAATTAAAATAGTTGCTGTTGTTCATTATGATGTTCATTATGATGATATTCTCAAATGGAACCTCTTGAGTTTTTTAAGTTCTTCATGGCTTGTGTACTGGTGCAAAACTCTAAAAATGCAACTTTTGTAACAGAAAGGAGGGACTACAAAAATGTTGATACTTATGTTTATAGCTGCTTATATATACTGCTTGAAATCTTTCAGTCATTGCAATTAGGATTTGTTTATTGTATTCATAATAAAACATATAAGCACAATGTATTTATCAAAGAGTCTTCAATACATTCAAAACATTTGAACCTTTTATTATAAATCCTTGAATATTAGCTTTAATATTTTAGCAAACTTTTCCTCTACAAAACATGTTAATATCTTTTTGCTGACTTAGTCATTCTGTCTAATTACAGATCTATTATTTTTCTTTCTCTGTCACAGCTTTTATATACAGGTGATTTCTCAAGACAGGAAGACAGACACTTGATGGCAGCTGAGATTCCTAATATTAAACCTGATATTCTTATCATTGTAAGTTTCACACTGTGATTTCTTTAAATTAGTAGTTGGGAGTGTCTAGAAGGAATTACTAAGATCTGAAGTGAGTGTCAAAATAAAGGTAAAAGCTTGATGGTGACATGTAACTTTAGCAATGTGCATTATGTGTCCCTTACAGCCAGGCTGCAGGGGAAATCAATACAGTATTTAGCATATAATAACTTCTGTATACTGTGTTTCAGGCCAGTCTCAAAGCACTATCCAAAGCTCTGTGTCACTTCTCTAACCTGTGTAAGCCCCAACTTTGTCCCAGAGGTGTGCCCAGAAACCTGCTAGAACAGGAGTAGCACAAGAAGGAAGTCATTCCAACCACAACAGTTGAAGCTACAGCAGGGAATATGGGCAGGACACAGATTAATACCCCTTTTCTTGCAAGAAGTATTGAGGGACTTTTAATAAATACACATAGTCAAGACCTTGTTTTTACATCTCTGCAAGAGAGCATCTCCAGCATCATAGTGCCTCCTACCAGCATAATGTTGCATTGGTTCAGTATTGATTCAAAGAAAAGAGTGGAATCTGGTATTTTACCTTTGGGATTACATATAGATTCTATCGACAGTTTATAGTTAGGGCCCTACCAATTTCACAGCTGTGAAAAATGTGTCAAGGACTGTGAAATAAGCCCTTCCCCAAGAAATCTGATCTCCCCCTTGCTGCTGGGAGCACCCCAACCAGGGGGCTCCTAGCTGTGAGTCTTGCAGGGCTGAGGAGGACAGGACTTATCTTTTTCTTGCATAGCAGCTGAGAGGTGAGAGGGAGATCAGACCCACCTCCGAGTGCCTCCCCCTGCTGCAGGAAGCTCTCTGCCCAGATCTGGAGGTTCCTGCAGCTGGAGGAAACTTGTGGAGGTTGGTACGATCTCTCCCTGCTCCTGGAAGCGCCCCAGCCAGAGGGCTCCTGGCTGTGAGTACCTGCTGGGCTGGAGGCGGGACAGGACTTGTCCTTCACTTGCATGGCAGCTCGTGGGGGGGGGGGAAGAGAGGGGTGGAGATCAGACCCACTTCCAGGTACCTTTTGGGTTGGGAACCCCACCATTATAACACTGAAATTTCAGATGTAAACAGCTGCAAACGTTAAATTGACCAATTTTACAACCCTCTGGCTATGAAATTGATCAAAATGGACCATGACTTTGTTAGGGGCCCTATTTATAGTGTTATGAGCTGCCTTTCTGCTGAAGAAATACCTTAAGGCTCTAGACTGAGACCTTGTCTAGACTGTGGATTTGCCCTGATTTCAGTCACTGGCGTAGCTGCATTCTTACAACCCTTAGTTTGTGCTGGTGGAGTTTATCCTAGTTTCAGGCAGTAAAGAGCAGCTTTGCCTGTCTACACTAGGGATTTTCACTGGTGAAGCTGCATTGGTGGCTGGCCACAAATGGCTGAAATCAGGGGCAAATCCCCAATGCAGACAAGGCTTTAAAGAAAGGGAGAGTGGGTCACCTCAGTGCACCAAAGTACAGCTCTGGCTACCAAGTCAGATTCTTCTGTTGTAGTTTTGTCTCTGAGAGTCAACAATGCCTGTGTATTTGTTTTACACGTTTGGGTGAGCATTTCTGGTTTAGGAAAAGCAGCATTTAAAAAACAACCCTGAGAATAGTATCAAAATGCTAGTCTTCTCTCTGCTGCCAGAGTCTGTCCTTACAAACAGCCTCTGTTTTCACAGCAATTTTCTAGTTGTTGTTGTTTTTTAAAGCAAACTTAGTACCTGAATTCAATGCACTCATTCTCCCTACAATTCATGTCTTGAGCAAAATCAAGTGAGGCTCATAGATGTGATGCATTTACAGTAGGATGGAAGATTTAACTGTAAATAGAAGTTCTGTTTCAATAAGATAACCTCAATATTCTAGTCAGCATTTTCTTGTTGACTTTGGAGAAGAGTATAATACAGTGATGGGCAACCTGCGGCCCATCAGGGTAATCTGATTGTGGGCCATGAGACGTTGACGGTCCGCAGGCACGGCTCCCCGCCGCTCCCTGGGGCCGCGGTTCGCCATTGTTTTAATAATAGCTCTGTATGTACTTTACTACTTAGGAATCCACCTATGGTACCCATATTCATGAAAAAAGGGAAGAGCGAGAAGCAAGATTCTGTAACACTGTTCATGATATTGTAAACAGAGGAGGTAGAGGTCTTATTCCTGTCTTTGCCTTGGGTCGTGCTCAAGAGCTGCTTTTGATCTTAGGTATGTATCTTCACATCATTTAACACTGAATGAGCAAAATACAGTGGAAATTTTTTAATGGCTGTCCTTTTATGTACAATAAGTTTGTATGTATGTATGTATTTATTTATTTAAACAAGTCTTTCAACACCTTTGCAGTGAGCTAATGACTTAAAAATCCCAGGGTGACTTGAATTAAATCAAGATGACTTAAATCACCAAATGGAAAGCCTGGATTTAAATAATTGATTTTAATCAACTTTTCCATTTGTACTTCAGTTAGTGTCTAAAGAAAGGTGCATTCTCATTCGTTGACTTAACCATTAAAGCGTGTTGATTTACAACTAAATAGATCCTTTACACAAGATTTGGGACATCTTTTTTCTACAAAAGACTGTATACTATATCATTACTTAAGCAAATATATATTTTAATATTTTCTGATTCTTATTAATTGTACATTTTTAGTATGTTAGAAAATTGTGAATGATGTATTGCTTATTTACTAGATAACTAGCCTTTTGGTAATGATTTGTGTCAAACTGCATTAGGATTGTAATTAAACACACAAAACAGCATATAAAATGTATTTGTATTAAACAAAACAACCTTTAATGTTTTGGATACATAAACTTCTCTTATCAAGACATATTTCACATTTACAACTAATGATTTATTAAAGAAACAGGGATTCTGTAGCCAATGAACTAAACTGATTATTTCAGAACACCCTGGGAATTTTTTCAAATATGCCTAAATGCAAGTTACTGGAGCTTAACTTCCTACTCATCTACGTCCCTTAAAAATGAAACAAGTCGTGACTTAGGCTTTTAGATCTCATCCCGTCCCTTCTTGTTTTTATTCATAGACTAGAAGAAGGAGACAACTTTTCCTGTTTTTTTAACTCCCAATCAACTTCGAATTAATTAATTCAGATTAAGAAAACATTCTTTCTGTGCCTACAGAAGTGACTACTGTTGTCAGATACTGGTTTAGCACTTCAGCAAATTCTGGTTCCAGGAGCTTAGCTAGAGACTTCCACCAATTCAGTGCTGTGACTTTCTTACAGACATCATCAGCAAACATGTTCTGCTTGAATGATTCACCTCCAGTTCTGAAATTTATTATGGGTGGCATGATTGATGGGTGATTATTAGATGCCCATGTTATAGCAGCAGCATCTTCTACCCTGGCAAGTTGGGTTGAGAATATTGGTAAGAAAATGAGGAGGAGTAAATGCTTGATCCATCTGCTTCTTTACTGCCTGCAGTTTAACTTTGTGGTTGGTATTTCTTTCTTCAATGTCTCTTGAAGTTTTTTCCAAATTTCAAAAGCGTCGGCAATATTACAGCAATTGTTCTGCAATTTGTCCAAGGCTATGGAAATAGGTTTCAATATATTCAGCATATCTACTACATTTCTCTTTAGTCCAATGGTGACTACTTGGCTGTTCCATCGATTCTGTCACAATTTTCTTCACAAATTATCATCAGAATAGGCCAGTTCATAATAAATAGCTCAAAACAGTCAGCCACTGAATTCCATCGTGCATCTTGGGGGACAAATAAATTTGGATCCTCCAGTTCTGTTCAGTGAAGCTGAAGCAAAGTGGTTGTTACGGAAGTATTTTGCAATTTCAGTAGCATTCTCCTTTATTCCTGGAGTTGTACTTAAGTCTTTGGCTAAAAGATGCATCAAATGAACACTGAACCATATGTTATAAATTTCAGGTTCCCTTCATTATCTTCTAGGTTTCTTCTCACCTTTGCTACATTTGCAGTGATAAAGCTACACATCTGACACTTAAATTTTTGTTCAGTTTGTTATAGCTTTTACTGCTACTTCTTTGTATGTATTCTGCTGTATGGGCATTTCCTTTTGTATCCATTGTTTCTGTAAGGGTACATCTACACTACAGCGGGGAGTCGATTTAAGATACGCAAATTCAGCTACGTGAATAGCGTAGCTGA